GTGCAACTGAAAAAGAAATGGAACAGAGACCAATGGAAGAAATACACAACTTGAATTTACACATTGAGAAAACAGAAATACTGATTCATAATGATTAAACCAACGCTAGGAACTAGGGCTCATATTGTTTCCATGGATGAGAAAAACAAGCTTACAGCCTTGGATTTGTAGATCCTTCTACTCTTTCAGTGTTTATGGGATTGACATAGAACCACACATGAACAGCTAAAATCAAGAGCAAGTGTTACATAGTTTGCTAAAGTGTGTTCTGTTCTTGTTGGTGTTTCATAGGACTATATTAACTAATGGGTTTTCCTCTTGTTCAGCAACGTTATCTCTTCAAAGGACCCTCATGCCCAGGAATCCTCACAGCATAGTGCTTTTGTCCACAAAGAAAATGTACCCATTCAGAAGTTGTCAAGGCCAGCTTCTGGTTTTATGCTAGATGATTTTCTTGACATGGTTTTATTTGTCACTCTGTACTGTTTCCCAGTTGCATCAATGAACATGGCTAGAGTCTCATTTCTGTTCTGTAGAACACACAGCCGGTCCGTGCTGACCTTTGACTTGCCTACGTAGGTCCACAAAGCATAACAGGTCAGAACTAGTGTAGAACTTCAAATCCTAACCCCAAGCGTAAACATCAGTCTGTCATCATGAAAACAGCCACTGAACAAAGCTTAAAGACAAAATGGATGTGAGTGGATCCAGACTTGGCAGCCTTCATTGGGAATTTTCATTTCCATTCGTTCAAATTCCTCTGAATTTTATTGGAATTGTTTCATAGACTTCTTCCCCTGGGATATATAAATTGAGATATAGATAATACCGTTCTATTTTAAGATGGCTTTTCTGACAGTAATGCATAAGGCACAAAAGCACAGGGCTGAAAAGGCAGCCATCAAATGCAAGGAGTTAAACATAACCTTGATTAACAAATCTTGTTATTCATGGATGACAGCTCGGTTAATAAGTGTTTGCGGCTTGGATGCTGAACTGGAGGTTAATGGCGAGGTGGAAGGCATTGTAGAATCCTGATTTTTAAGACAAACACACATCACACCCCAAAAGGCATGCGTGGAGTCAGGTGTAGTCAGTGGGCTGTGGTGATGTACATCGGGTGTTCTCCTTCACTGGCCCAGCTGCTGGCAGCCTGAGAGCTTCCTGGTAGGGGAAAGCCTGAGCCCCCTCCTGGCTTCAGCATTCATGGCTCAGATGGCTAGAGACCAGCTTAGGAGCAGGGAGCATTTCACTTCAAACTTCTTAACCAATGTTTTATTTTGTCTTCACTACATTAGATTAGTAGAGCAGAGCAGGTAAGGACACAGCTCCAAAAGAACCATGTCCAAATCTAAGGAGTGTTCATACCCATCCAGAATGGGCCCTCAAACAGCCACAGCATCGAGTCAGATTTCCCCTCCTGTGCCTGGAAAGCAAGATGCATGTGAGACACAATGTGAAAACCACCCCATTCACTGGCCATTAAGGGACATTTTTATGTTGAAGGATCTGAAGCCTTGGGGCATTCCTTATCGTCCTGTGGGATGGCTTAAAAAGCAGGAGATTTTCCCTTCTCACTGGTGGTCAGGTCAGGGCTCAGAGTAAATCAGTGTCCAAGGAAGAGGGTAAGTCAGTCCCAGCCTTCAAGGGCACTGAAAGAATGTGGGAACACTCGGTCTTTTTCCTCCCTCATTCCCTGGGAGACGAAGAGAGTGGATTGACGTCTACATCGCGCAACCTCACGCTGGTTTGTACAGTCAGAAGCCAAAGCCGGGTGGCGGTGTGATTGCAGGTCCTGGCCTGGCTGTGTCATGGGTCAACTGTTTAGCATGTGAACAGGAAGGTGAGGAGGGCTGAACTTTCGCCTCAGCTGCGCCCTCCATCAGAGAATAAATGGACCAAATCAGTGGGTGCAGCTGCACAAGGAGATGACCGGCCCAGGCCTCCTCACACAGGGGCCTTTGTGTCCTGGACATGATCTGGCATTAAGATGGGGTGCACTGGGCCTCAGCTGGGTGGCAAATTACTCACCCATTATCACACCAGAGCCCGAGATCATTTATCTTCTGCCCCCGAGTGTCACCTGTTCTTCATCTACGAGTCAATAACCATTAATTATGCTCAGTGGAAATTTAAACAAAGCCCTTTCCCCCTGTTAAAACCAGTAAACTATTCAGCAATAACAAATAAATCTGGAGTTGTATATCCTTTCCCTTCCCATTCCCAGACTGGAGTCTGGTATAATATGAACTTTAGAGGAAATGCCTAGAAATTGATAGGTCAAAGGTCGCAGATAGTCTGATGGAAAGAAAAGAGCAGATTCTTGGCACTCACGCGAGTGAAAGTGAGAGGCTCCTACTGGTCCCAGATTCCTGCCGGGGAACAAAACAAGCAGCGGGAACTTGTGGCCAGTGTTTAAAGCCATCCATATTAACCAGTAATCATATTTTCTCCTTTTATTTTTAGCAAACCCTTGCTTTCTTTCACATGCCTAAAAATACGCGATTTTCAAAACCCTTCTAACACAACATAGCGTTTCAAAAGAAAGAAAACGAGCTGAGCCGTCCTGAAAGACCTATTTGAAATGTTATTTTTAGAATGGAAATTTGAGTAAAACTTGCTTAAGTGTATACACTAATCCCTCAGAAAAACGTTCAAATAGAAACTCTGGCCAGAAGCATAATTTAATTTTTCCTAAAATTGTTGAAAGTATTTTGAAGAAAGCCAACCCAAGTTTGCATATGCGAGGTTTGTGCCTACAGAGACCGGGGCGGGGGGAGGTGCGGTCAGCTTCTTGGGTACAAGTGGCCAGGACACCGGCTCAGTCGGGGTGACACTGGCCGTGCTCTGTGCCACTGATTCCAGGGAGCCCAGCAGGATCACAGGGGTGTCTTCTGGCAGCCACACCTGGGGCTGTGCTCAGGCTGTGCAGGGAGAGGTCAGAGTTCCCAGATGGAGAAGAGGTGCGTTCCAGGCCAGGAACTGCCGGAGCCAGACACAGCTGGGAAGCTGGCCTCGCCGGGCCTCTGCGTGCATCCTGGTCACCTGCACCCAGTGGCATCTGGAGGGCACCGCTCTGAGGGATTAAACACTGGGTGCCTGGCTGCAGTTTGCTCCCTGTTCTCCACCCCCCCGGCAGTTCAGGGGACTGCAAAGCCTTTATACTCTATCTGCCCCAGAGACCATGGCGATCAAGAGATCATCTTGTCATTTGTGCGTTCTAGACATAGAGCCAGCTTTCCATTCATAACAGAATTGGTGGAAGGCTTGACTGCATCAACTACGATGTCTTTATGCAAAGTGAAACTGCAGCTACTCCGTTGACTTGAACGCAGCCCTTATCTGGCCCAGCCCGTTTCATCGGTTCCTTTCAGCACATGACTCACCTGGATCTTTTGCCTTGATCCTCTTGGTCACTGTGTCTCCCATCTATGTAAAGTCACACCAAGTCTCATCTTCCACAGAACAAGAGTATGACTTAACACAATCTTGTCATAGACCCAAAATCCAAAATCTTCACGAAAAATAACTTCAAGTCAAAGAAATAGCTTCAAAGATAACATTTGAAGACGGTGCCAAATTCACATGATCAAAGAGGAATTAGCATGTTTCGGTTGCACGAAGTGAAAATAAGCTGTCCCCTTGAGTTCAGAAACCTAGTTGTTACCCTATCCAATAGCAGCTAAGGAAACAGCCATCAAAATCATGTTTTTTAAATGTTGAGACAAGTCTTTCATGCACATTGAATTGGGGGCCACAATGAGTTGCCTATTAGTTTTCCTCTATATCTTACTTGGAAAAGTGGATGGAGATTATAAAACAATTTGATTTTGGGGGGAGTAGGCTTGGGTTTTTTCTTTACAAGACACTGCTGCCTGGTACCTGTTACCCTTATTAGGGTTCTTTTAAATCTGTGTCTCTTGCCTGTATACCCCAAACCCCATGCTGATGTACAGTCGAGAAACAGTAGGGCAATATACTATGGGTAAAAGCGGCCATAACTGGGGAACCGATCTGTGATGGCAGCCACCAGCTGTCCTGAAGTCCACTGTTGACCAGTCAGACATCTCATCCAACTGGAGAAATGACCTTGAGCCTTGACCTTGAAATGCTGCCTGATGAAATCCTTAACCCTGGGGCAGAGGCATCCATTGCTGCCTAGATAACTTTTTGAGAGTAATGCTATTCCCTGCTTGATTGATTTTCCACGAATGATTCTTAAATATTTGGGGTTTTAACACCACCAGATTGGTGAATTGTCAACTTAGTTGTTTAGAAATTTGGTTCTACGTTGGGAAACCAACATCTGTATTTAGTGACTTCTCCTTACATCTCTGACATGAGGGAAAATAGACAATGCTTTTGGAATTTTCTTAAATGCACTCTAAGACAGCTATTCCCCACAAGCACTCTTGAGTGTCTTATTTCTCTAAATTGTGTGAGGAATCCAGGAAGTTACTGATTCCACAAATGTTCTCTTGCCTATTGAGCCCAAAATTCCGACTGTGACCCAGGCGTCTATATTGAGATACTCTTCAGATGATTGTAGTGCAAATTAAAGCTTGAGAACCACAACTTTTGTAGACTGTTGTGTGAAACTGAAGCTCATTTCATACTTCAAATGAAAGCATTTAAACTGCTGTGCCTCCGTAAGCAAGCCAAACGTAAGCCAGAGCCAGATCACTCAAATCCAAGAAAACAGAACTTAACAACAAGCAGTCACAGCCAACTCTTCTTTCCCAAATCAAATTGCGGGCCAATCTAATCATTGCCTTGCTTTGTTTGAGCATCTCCTCCGTAAAGGCCTTGCCCCATCTCCTCACCACCTTTGCTTCAGCCTGCTTTGGGTCTGTGTATAATCAAATGAACACTTGAAAGTTTCATGTGCCTCAGTTTACCTCTGAACACTGCCCATATCCAGTAGTGCGTGCCGGGTGACACCGTGTTTCCCAATGTCCGCTGGGTGCAACTTTAATGTGGCTCTGCTTGTCTCTGTGTAGGCCATGTGGCTGATGTTGCAGAACGAAGAGCCAGAGGACTTTGTCATAGCGACTGGGGAAGTCCACAGCGTCCGAGAATTCGTGGAGAAGTCATTTCTGCACATTGGGAAAACCATTGTGTAAGTAGCACGCAAGCACCCTTCCGCGTGTGTTCGCCATTCTCCTCCCTGCGTCGGTTCTTTCCTCCTTTCCTCTCCTACAAAGCAGCGCGGAAGTAGTCTTCTTTTCTCCCCTGCACCTAGCTCTGGGTACCTCCTGTCTGATGCCTGTCACCATCGAAGCTCAGTCATTTTAGAAATCTGTCTTATCCTTTTTATTTTTTAAAGTGTTGATTATGTTTTTATTTTTCGCTTTGGTAAAGTCTTTTTTTTTTATCTTAAGTTTTCTAGCAGGGCTTAATTTTATTGTGGTTAATTTGGATCTTAAGTCCTTCATTTTATATTTAAATGTCTGAAACCCTAGGAAACATTTCTGCATTCAACATCTCCTCCATGAAGACCCCCATGCTCAACACCTTTGGTTTAGCAAGTCTAGTTTCTGATAAGTTGCAGACAGCCTTCGTCTCTCCAAAACATCAAGAGTAGGTTGCCAACCAGATTCTCCATAATTCTGGACTTTCGTGTATAGCTCCCATAAACAGCAATAGTCTTCTACATGAGTCCAAAATTCAAATTTCAGCAAGATGAGGGAATTCACACTGACAAGTTTCCAGTGTCTATTCTCAGGTCTCACTAGAGCTCTGCCACTTGGGTCAGTGCTATGCTTTATACCAAGATGACTCAGTTGACCGTCATAGACCATGTTCTTTTTGTCATGTTGGACAAATTTCAAAGTCAGCGTTGATTGGAATATTTGAACTATTTGTGGGAAATTCCTCGTTATAGCTGGAAGATTTGCAGGGTTGTTTTTTTTGTTTATTATTATTGCGGTAAAGTATATATACTATATAGAGAGCATAAAGTTTATCATTTTAATTATTTTAAGTGAACAACTTAGTGGCATTAAGTACTAGCACAATGTGGTAGCGCAACCATCACTACCATCTATCTCTAGAATTTTTTTGACTCTCCCCCAACTGAAATTCCATTAAACAATTACTCCTTACCCCCTGTAACCTCTTAGCCCCAGAATTTGCCTTCCCTAGGTATTTCATATAAATGGAGTCATCTGATGTTTATTTCACAAAGCTTCATGTCCCCTTGCTACAGCACATGCTGCAATTTCATTCCTTTTCGAGACCCAGAAGTATTCCCACCTACATTCCACCGTGGCCCATACCAGCCACACTCCGATTATCCATTCATCTGTCACTGGACACTTAGGTTGCTTCAAACTCCAGGCTATCGTGAATAATGCTGCTATGTGTGCATATACAAATATCCCTTGTAAGTCCCAGCCTCCAGGTCTGTGGGGTGTGTACTTAGAAGTGAAATGCCTGGGTCGCACTGTAATTCTGTTTAACTTTCTGAGTACCTGCCAAGCTATTTTCCAAAATTCATTTCTGAAACTTAAGAAAGACTTCATGTTTAGCTCTGCCGTTGTAGCAGAAATCAGGTTAAGTTTTCCACATTAGACAAAAATAGGAAACTAGATAAAATAAATGTGACAACTGTTACAAACATTAGACAGTAGGAATCCAGCGCTATGACATCTGGCAGAAAAAACTAGGTGAGATGAGCACAATCACCTGAGCCTTCTCCCTGGAGGCAGAATCACCCCAAGGGGCTCCTAGCAGAAAACAACTGTTTGGCAGAATTAAGGAAACAGCGGTCTAAATTAGAGAATCTCAGACAACTGGGTGGAATTATGGAAATCTGGGATCCATAAAGAAAAAGGGCTTCAGAAACTGCATGAGGGCCCCCTTGAGTGTTTATGAACTGTAAGGTGTGTGCAAGGAAATGACATAAGCTTGGGCAGAGGGTTCCCTGGGAGCCCTCAGTGTTTCTTAGCAGGAAGGCAGCTCAGTTTCAACCAGCCGTAAGGGAGAATCCTTGTTCATCATTCTGAGTGCAATATGGGTTCCAGAAGGGCTCTGCTCTCAGGAATCCCTAGAGGAAAGGCGACTCTAGACTCAGTGTAGCACAGTTTAAAAACAAACTTCAAAAGGATCAAACAAGACACAAATAACTTATTCTCCTTCCATAACAAAGCCCAATGCTCTTCAAAGGAAGACGGTAAAATCTAGACTCAACAATATAAAATTTTTAATGTTCAGCTTTCAGTCAAAAATTAGTAGGAGTGTCAAAAAGCAGGAAAATGTGACCTATGACCAAGAGGAAAAATTTGAAAGACTGAGGAATAATGAAAGATCGTGTGAGCATGCAGAGATATTAAAATAGCTATTGGAACTATGTTTAACTGCTTGAGAAGAACATGGAATGGTGAGAAGAGTGAAAATAGGTTTCAAAAAGAGGAAGATGAGCTATAGAAAAAGTAAGTATTTTAAACGAAAAATTAACAGTTGATATTGAGAACAGATTAGATACTGCAGGAAAAAGGATGAGTGAACTTACAGAAATAATAATAGAAATGACCCAAGATGAAGTATGGAGGGAAATGACTGGGGCAGGAAGGGGAAAGGACAGAGCTTCGGTGACCTACGGGAACAGATCAAAGCAGCGCAAGTAGTGGGATTCCAGGGGGTAGCGGGGAAGGCACTGAGGGAGAAGCAAGTAACGCCAAGATTTTTCCAAATTTGATAACTACCATAAAACCGGAGATGCTCGACGGGCCTTAAAAAGTCCTCAGCAGGAGAAACACAAAGAAAACCTCACCAGGATACATCATAACCAAATTATTGAGAACAAATTCTAGAGAGGAAAACATTAAAACAGCCAGAGAAATAAGATAATCAGTTAGAGGAACAAATAGAAGAAAGTTTTCTTGCCAGAAGCTGTGCAGAGCAGAAGACAATGGAACAATATTTTGAAATTGCTGGAATAAACTTGCAACGTAGCCTTCTGTATACAGAGAAAGTGTTCCTAAAACAGAGATCAAACAAAGATCTCCTTCATACAAAGGCTGACAGAGTTCTTGTCCAGCAGACATTTGGGCAAGAGGAAGATGATATTAGTTCAAACGTTGGATCTATGTTGAAGAATGAAAAGCAAGAGAAATAGTAAATCTGTGGGAAAATATGAAAGGATTTCCCCTCCTCATTTTAAAATCTTGTTGAAGGGTAATTGATTCTTGAAAGTCAAAATAATAACAATAGAGTATGAGATTTCAAATACACTTATACAAATTATATGACAACAGTAACACAAAGTGTGAGGACAGTATGGAAGACCCATGGATTGTCTTTAAGATCCCTGCACAGGTGTGAGTTGGTATAAAATTATGTGAAGAAAGGCAGCAATAAATTAATATGCGAACTGTAAACTCAAGAGCAACTACTCAAACCAGGCAAGGCGAAAAATAGCAGGAAGCAGAGTGAGCGTGGAATTCTTTTTAAAAAGATGCAATCTAAATGAAAGCAAGAACACAGATAGGAGCAAATAACATGGGGCCAAAAGAAAATCGTAACTATATTGATAGTCACATCCAGGGCAAATGCTCTACATACTGTATTTAAGAGGGAGATGTTGTTGGATTTGAGGAAAAGGCAACAGTTGGGCCCTCCCTGGTGGCTCCGCGGGCCCAGCGCAGCACTATGAAGCCACAGCAGCCACTGCAGTATGAGGTCCATCCCGGCCAGGGAGTGACCCGCATGACGCAGCATGGTTCCCCTGACCTGCCCACTGCTCCCCTCACCAGTGTGTTTCAGTTAATCGCCCATTCTGCTCCCCACTCGGATCTAGTGAAACCTCTTACTCTCTGTGCCTCTGGCCTATACCCCAGTTCTTGTAAATCTTAAAAAAATAAATCTTTTTTTAAAATTAAAAAGGCAATATCCTATCTACAGGAGAGACGTTTTATATATGAACTGTAGACTAAAAGAAAAATAATAAATTCATGCAACCACTAATCAGACCATTGGAGTGGTGATATTTATATGAGACACATCAGACTTCATTCAATCTCGAATGAATAAAAAAGTCATTTCATGATTTTAAAGAGATCAGTTATGAAGAAAACAATTTTATATGCATATGTTCTCAGTTACAATTACTTCAGGATACTGCAGAACTGAGAAAAAACAGATGAAAAAAATTATAACTGAATGTTCCAAAACTCCTCTCTCCTTTACTAACAGGTGACAAGAAATCTTTGAGGATATGGAGACCTGGTCAATATAAAGCTCTGACTTAATTGACATTTGTAGAATTATGTCACTCATCTAACCAAAAATAGCAGACTACACACTAAGGTTTAACTGAAACATTCCCCAAGATAGATCTATGCTATGTACCAAAAAGAAGTCTACACATTTTGAATTAAAAAATGCAAGACTATGTTTTCTGATGAAAGTTAAATTCAATTGGAAATTAGTAACAGAAAATATTTAAATTCCCCAAATATCTGGAAGCCAAACAACATACTTTAAATAATTCACAGGTCAAAGAAAAAAAAATAACAAGGAAAATTAGAATGTATTTTGAACTAAATGAAAATGAAAAGAGCATATCAAAAATTTTGGCTACAGCGGAGCAGTCTTTAAGCAGACACGAGTGGCTTTGAGTGCTGCTATTAAAAAAGAAAATAGATCCAAAAAGAGATATCTGATCTTCCATATTAAGAAGCTAGATAAAGAAGAGTAAATTAAGCCCAAAGCAAACAAAAAGGGATTAATAAAACTAAAAGTAGAAATCAGTGCTATAGGTAAATGAAAAACAGCGAAAATCAGTACAACCAAAACTTGGACAAACCCCTATCCAGACTGATCAGGATAAAAAGAGAAGACACAGATTATATATAAGTATGAAATAGAAGGTGAGCTCTACCTGCAAGTCCTCCTGTCTTTAACACAATAATGAGATAATATTAACAACTTTGTCCAATGACTTTGTCAAATTAAAGGAAACTGACATAGTCCATGAAAGACACTGATTGCCAAAATAACTCCAGAAGAAGGCAGAAATCTTAATAGTTCCATGTCTGGTAAAGAAACTGAATTTTACCAGTGATTTTATCAAGCATTTAAGAAAGAAAAATAATGCTTTTCCTATACATACTTAGG